AAAAAAAAAAAAATCTAGTCAGGGATTTAGCTCGGTGGTACTGTGCCTCCCTCACAAGTGTAAGGTTCTGAGTTCAATCCCAGTACCAAAAAAAAAAAATTACTGGTATTTTAATATACCGGTGTCTTAGTCACTTTCCCATCACCAATGCACAATACCTAACACCTGCAACTTAATGAAGAAAATTTTTATTTTGGTTCAATTTTACAAGTTTCAGTTCACACTTGGCTGGCTTCGAGGCAGAAACAGCATGGTAGAAGGGCCCCACAGAGGAAAGTTGTTCACATTACGGTGGCTAAGAAGTGACGAGAGTAGAGAGGAGTTAGGGAAGGAGATAGATCCTTCCAGGTCACACCCTCAAAGGCCTTCCTCTTCTGAGAGGGGCCCACCTCCTAATAGCACATTCAGTGATAGAACTATTAGTAGATCAATTTGCTGATGAATATAATGCTCTCATGATCCAATCTCTCCCTGAAGCCATGAAAGTTTTGAGGGACATTCTGAATCTAAACCATAACAGATGGCAACAGATAATTAGAAAATAAATAGCGTCCATTGACTTTTACTTTATGCTCTGTGCACTTTTCTTTTTAATTTTTTTTTCTCTCATTGAGTTTATTGGTACATTTTAGGTATACAGTACAGTTACATTCATCATTGGGATCTTGTACCTTTACATGACAGGTCTTGGTTCTCATTTTTTTCCCTTACCCCTGCCCTCCTTCACCCCCTCCTCCCCTCCCCATTTCTGTGCACTTTTCTTTATGTATCTTACATTTCAGCAAAATTTTTAATTTAAAAAGAAATCAAGGAAATAATGCCAATAAACATCTGGGACTTTATAAATTAAATGTGTCAAAAATCATCTTTGAGTTAATCTAGAATACAGCCAAGTCATTCAAAAGAGAGATTAAAATAATTCCCACATTGAAATGAGTTATTTTCCCTGTTGCAGATCAGCAGGATTTTATCAAACTACTCAATATTATGAAAAAATAATTTGACTAAAAATTTAATACCTATTATACATTATGATTTAAAAATAAAATATCACAAGTTTCATTTCCCTTGTTTATTACATAGTTCAACATGTTATAAAATTAAAATTTTATTTTTATATACATTTTACATTTTTGCAAAAACAAATGGGAGCAACGGTGAAATAAAGTTCACAGATATTCCCAAAGTTCTTTCAAAGAGTAAAATAATACTATTTAGTAGCCCTATGTTATAATACCTAATTATTATTATTCTAATAAAGCATAGAAAGGTAAGATGCCATCTAACAACACTCAGTGGTGATAATGAATTGTTGGAAATTGGTACCCAATTTTAAGCACTATGAGCTCAAAAATTCTTTTCAATATATTTGAGTTTTGTGCTGTATTCAAACCCATGTAATAGATGAGAAAAGGTAAACTGGAAGCAACAATGTTCCTAGCTTTGCTTCAAATACCTGTGTGACTTTGGGTATGGTACTCAATCTCTCTTTAATTTCTTCATTTGTAGAATAAATTGTATGATTACAATTTAAAAATAGAGTCCATGCATCAACTATTTAGTAAAATAATTTATTTTAATTTCTATACAATTTTACCTCAGAATAATTAGCAATTGCTATATTATATATCCACCTGTTAATTTTTATAAATGGAATCCTAATAGTCTTAATAAACAAGAAAATATCTGTTAACTAAATCTAAATGAAACAGGCTTATTATTCATTATACAGGTATCAGTGTATAAAAATCAGGTCAAGTGAGACTTCTGTTTGAAGAATTAATGTTTTGGGAATTAGAGAACTGAATAGTTAACATTCAGTAGAATATTTCAGATCTTTACATGGAAATGAATTTTTGTTTCACTTTGACTAAAATTTGAAACTACTTTCAGAATGCTAATTCTTTAATTTGTGTCTTCTGGGGAATAAAACTCAAACAGGATGTAGCCTTAGTGGTGCCAAAGAAAAGAAATGAAAACTTTGGTTTCTCAACTGCAACCTTCCATTGAATCTGTGGAAGAAGGTGGGAGATGAGTGAAGAAACAGGAGGGAATAGGCATTAACAAGAGAAGAAAATGCCCATAAATTCACACACAAAAAGTGCTAATTAAAAAAGAAAAGACAATCTACTAAATACTAAACCCAAGTAGTGTATTTTGGTACAGAGGACCTTTTCTTTTTTGACTTAATTCATAAAATAGATAAATGATTAAATTTACCTCTGGAATTAATAAATATAAAATCAATTGTATATATTCAGTGTAAATCTACAAAGTTTAGACTCCAGCTTTTTGTATCTCATGGTTAACTATTCATTCTTAAAATCTCAGTAAGGGGTACACAACCTGTGCAATTTTACAGGGCCCTCATTTTGAAAGAGTCACGCTTGGTTTAGTAATGTTCTACTGCTGCTCCTGTCTTGAAATTCTTAGTAAGTTTTGAACCAGAGGACCTCCGTTTCCATTTTGCACCAGACCCTACAGACTATGTATCTGGTCCTGATACAGGCCTCCAAGTTTAATGTGGCTTTCGTAACCCTACAGGCCCATGAAGATGCTTTTTGCTTTGGGCTTCTCTGGCCTCAGGACATTCTTCCCTTATAGTACTATCTTATTCCACATGTTTTTCTTCTTATTCCATTCTTTGCCTGTGAGCTCATTGAGGTTAACACCTACAATCTCTTTGTTTTTGACTCTCCAAGACATAGTAGAATATCTAGACATGGTAAAATTTGTTGTATAATAAGTGAATCAGCCAATGAACAAACTATTGACATACATTGCCAAGTGTCCAAAATGATAAATTAGTTTCTTGGAAATCTTGAATATCAAAGAATAAGTTTTCTTTTAGATTGAATCAAATGTGGGTCATAAGGCTAGGGATTTAGCTCAGTGGCACTATGCCTAACTCGCAAGTGCAAGGTCATGAGTTCAATCCCCAGTACCCAAACAAACAAAGAAACAAAAAATGTGAGTCATAAGACTCTTCAAGTCACTAAATCAAATAAGAGATGAAACACTGTGTCAGCTAGTTTCATCATGAATGTGACAGCAACTACGCAGAACCAGCCCAAGTGGGGTCAGTTTGCTAAATGCACTGCCCTCCATAGAAAGTGATTGGAAAAAGCCCAGAACTCCTTAAGAATTACATATTTTGTGCAGGCGTGATTTAGGGTGGCAATTAAGGAAAGTAAGATGTGTAAGTCTAGCTGCATAGGTTCAAATACTAGTTCCACAACTTTATAGAAAGATGTCTCTGGGAAAGTCATTAACTTCTCTGTACCTGTAAAATGGGGGTATAAGTAGAACCATCTCATAAAGTTGTTATGGGGATATAATGAAAGAACCATGTAAATAAAGCCTCTGGTACTCAAAGTGTGGCCACAAATCAGCTGTACAAACACCACCTGGAGACTGGCAGGAAATGGAGACTCTTGCCCCACCTCCCCCAATGACTGAATCAGCATCTGCATTATACGAAGAGCCCATGATACTTCTAGCCTGAGAAGCACTTAAACAGTGTCGGATGCACCGTATCCAGTCAATGAATATTAGCTAGGGTCAGTGGTGCTGCCACCTGCCTTGCAAGTGCAAGGTCTTGAGTTAAATCTCCAGTAACAAAAAAATACAAAATAAAAATAAATAAGTAAATATTAGCTTTCATCATTACCATGCCTTCTGAAGTCTAATAATCATGAGGAACCTGAAAATTGATCCAACTTTTAAAAGTGCTTTTTCAAACTTACATTTCTTATTTCCAAATTAATGATTTTAGGCCCTAGATGGGAGTCTGTACTAACATGATTGCAGAAATACTGTATTAGACTGAGGTTAATGACCCAATCAGTGATCTGTTATTATCTACATCTTTCACAGCAATTTTGAGAAAAAATTATAAGGTCAGTCATACCGAGTAGAGATGTAATAGAAAATTAAATATACTGCTCTTCAGATGGAGCAAAATACTACAAGAAAGTTGTAGATGTGAGATTTTATAAATTTATGGCACAGTCATAGTTGTCACAGCCCTTGTAGAGGCTATGTATCCACTGTGTACATTCGCCTCAGTTACTGATGATTTGAATATTGGGCTCTCTATCCCCCTCTCTAGAATTTGTCCTATCTTCACTCTTTGGTGGCTTCAAGATCCATTTAAATGACTTATTAAGCTTTTTGCTCTTGCAAGTCTTTTATTATCTCTCTTTGAAGGATTATTTTCTCAACCCGTCACCTGCCTCTACCCTGCTTCAGTTACTTGTAGTTTTTCTTAAAGTTTTTTCTTACCATTACCAATGTCGTGTCTAAAAATCTCAACATTAAATATAAGGTGTGATAAAAAAAAAACTACAGGAAATATTTAACATTTTCAAAAAATATTATAGCAAAAGACACATTGCCATTAATCCCCTTCCAGATACACCCCCTCACTTTAAACATACTTAGCCCATTATTCTCGCTACTTGCTGAAGCAGTTCTGGAAGTTCTCTTCAGTGGGTAACTTTAGCTGTACCTGCCTCAGTGTTTTACACTGATTCAAGAAGTTTACCTTTTGTGATCATTTTGACTTTGGAGAAGAACCAGAAGTGGCACTGAAAAGATAGAATATGAAGACTATCTCTAGGAGTTTATGGATGTTAAACATTCTGTAAATAAGAACTCAGAATTCAATACAAAAGGAAAATGATAAAGGCCCATGTTACATATACAAAGATTATAAATTGAACAAATTTGGAAACCAATTTAATTGATACAGGCTAAATTTTAGGCATATATATTATTATAAAAATGTAAATATTGCAGAGTTCAAAAATTACATTAATGAACAGAATAATCAGTGAATATTTTAAAACAAGATTTTGTTTTAGAAGTTTTCAAATCCATGTGTACAATTTCAAATGTCTTTTAATTAACCTAGTAAAAATTTTGGAAGCTTTTGAGAATTACTTTCTCTACTTTGCGTAATAATAAAAGGAAAGTGACAAATTATATAGTAAGTTAAAAGCAATATAAAATTGGGAGGCTGAAGGTATGTCTCAGTGGTAGAGTACTTGCCTATCATGCAGAAGACCCAGAATACCACACATACGCATTTAAAAAAAGACATTTTGAAACAAAATGTGACTATTAAACTTTCTTCATCTGCAGTCATCATTAGCAGCAACAAACATATTTAGCTCCTACCATACTGGTTAGATAAAGGACATAAGGCCTGAAATATGAAATGCTCTGTTACACTCTGCTCCTAGCAGTTTGGGTGCCTCTTACACAGGTCTTTCAAATGAATTCAGTTTCCTCCTGAATTCCCAGCCTGGTGGAACATGGGAACTTGGAAAGAACAGAATTGTAACTAGACATAAAAAGTCAGTGTCTAATAAGATACACAAACAACACTATAATAGATGCACTGAGAAAATAGGAAATGAAAGATAGCTGGTCTTTTAACAGACTAAAATTGATTTTAGCACCCACCCAGTGGTAGACACCTGTAATCTTAGCACTAAGGAGGCTGAAGCAGGACGGCTATGAGTTTAAAGCCAGTCTGAGCCACAAGGTGAGTTTGAAACCAACCAGAGTCTCAAATAAAAACCCTGTCTCAAAAAATAAAAAACAAATAGAGATATAGATGAAAATAAAATTGATCTGAAAAAAAAATTAATTGAAATGACTAAAAAGTAATGGGCTCAAATTTTTAGTACACTATGCATATTACTATCTGTATTACTTAAGAGAAGGCATAGAAAATTAAGTTTTTGCAGAAAGGTAGTAGAGTGGTTTAGCTACAAAGGAAATGAGATACCCCTCCTGATTTTTAAATAACATTCTCCACAATAGTGGAGAATCCAAATAGGTTTGACTGTTCCTATTGTCCACATATTCATGAGGCTCTTCCAGGTACAGTGCATTATACAAATAATGTATACTGTAATGAGTTGCAAACATACACCTGAGAGAATTCCCATCCTTTCAGGGGGTCTGGTTAAAAAAAAAAAACAAAACGCAGATATATCAAGCAATCTAATGAAAGATGGAAAATGGGGTTACAAGAGAGATGATAATAGGGATAATTACTTTATTTCCTCTACTGGGAAGGATGATGTATTCTAGCCATATTCTGCTAGCTAATTTCTGACCTTAAGACAGCAGTCTAAATATCATTTCTGCACAGCAGTCTTCTCTGATGACTCACTTTAGAGTTACTTGTCATCCAGTTATTCACTATTACATCACCCTATTTTAACTGTCTGCACATCTCTTAACACTATTAGTTGTTTTCTTTTCTTTTTGTCTTTTATACTTTATTTTTTTATTTTTTTCTCATTGAGTTTATTGGCACACTTTAGGTATACAGTTCAGTTACATTCATCATTGGGATCTTGTACCTTCACATGACAGGTCTTGGTTCTTATTTTTTCCCCTCGTCCCTGCCCTCCCTTTACTCCCTCCTCCCTTCCCTATTTACAAATACTTTATTTCCACTTTTTTATTTTCTCATATTTTTTTCTTTTCCCTTATTTGCTTTCCCCTACCCTTCCCACTTCCCCTACACCTTTAGCCCTTTTCTTCCTATTTCACATTGTCAATTATAACCTTAGGATCTTATGTACAGTTATAGTTTTTCACACCAGAGAAACAATTTATTAGTTATTTTTCTATGTGAGCATTTATTATTTGTCTCCTTGGCTGAAACAAAACACCTGAAATTTTGACAGTAGGTCCACTTAGAACTGTCCCTAAAACAAAATGAATAAATTAATTAATGCCTAAGTCAAAGCAAGCTAAAAATTTATATGATACCTTGAATGCCAAGGGGAAGGAATTTGGACTTTTTTTTTTTTTTCTTTTTGCACCTGGGATTGAACTCAGGTCTTTGCGCTTGCAAGGCAGGCCACTGAACCGCTGAGCTAAATCCCTGGCCCAGAATTTGGACTTTATTCAGAAGACAAATAGAAAAATTTTGCTAAGTTTTTGGGTGAAAATACAAAGATGCAAAATACATATTCGGTCCTCAAAGAGTTTATGATTCACAGATGAGCTTAGGCAAACTATATTCTTAAAAAGAAAAACTGAAGGGCTAGGGGTATAACTTAGTAGAAGAGTGCTTGCTTAGAATCTGCATCTGCAAAGGGGGATGGGTGGGGAAGGGCTGAAAATAAAATTACCATATTTTAAAGACCAAATGATTGATGGAAAACAAGCCAGGCTATGGGAATTTGGCTAGAGAAGTGAGATAGTTAGAGGGAAGATAGAATTGAAAAGTCAAATGACATAAAGAAGTGGAGAAAAGACAGGAAGGAACCATCTTCAACATTGTTAACAAAGGCTTAGAGGCAAAATATGTTTGTGATGAGCTCAGAGTTCAGGGAATAGATTACATCAGTCCATACCTAAAAATGAATACAAAGAAGTTACACTAATTTGTTATTAAATACCTGTTTTGTCATTAAGGTGTAGAAATGCTTGCCTCACAAGCCAAAACTTTAAAATATATTACAAATATAAGATCATAATAGCAAATGCATAACATTATGGATTAAACTGTTTTCTAGATTCTAGAAAATAAATTTTAATATTAATTATTACTTTGCTTTCTCTTCATTCTTCACAGAGTTGCCACCCCATTTGGAGGGTTTGAAAAAGCATCAAAAATGGTTAAATTCAAAGTTCCAGATTTTGAGCTGCTGCTGTTAACAGATCCCAGGTTCATGGTGTTTGCCAATCCTCTTTCCGGCAGACGGTCCTTTAATAGGACTCCTAAAGGATGGATATCTGAGAATATTCCTATAGTGATAACGACAAAACCTACAGAGGACACCACTGTCCCAGAAACTGAAGACCTGTGAAAGGAAAGCTGTACATCTCAAAAATCTCTGAAATAGTGTTGCTGTTTTATTATTTTGAATATTGGCAAAGCCACTTACATTTTTCATTAATACTTACAACTTAATAGCAATTATGTAATTTTCCTTTTATGGCCTTTAATTTCAATCTGAGATCAAAACTAATGAAAAATTAAAAATCTTATTTTAAAAAACTTTTAGCTCACTTGCTTTCATTCATAATTTTATCTGCACCTGGTCATCCTTTTCATGGTAAACAATTCAGGTGGAAAAGTAACACACAACAAAATTTTCATCTTTGTCTCATTTAAAATGAGTCATCTCCAGAATGTTTTCACATAGAATCTAGAATGAAAATGCAGTGTAAGGTATGCAGACTCACTGAGCATTTTATGTAAGAGATGCAAGCTATAGAAGATAATGTATAGATGTTATTGATGGAGAAAAGGGTTGGGTACCTCCTTTCTGGTGACCACAATAAAATAGTTTGTCTGATTTAAGATATTTTTTTAGTCATTCTTGAAATTTTGAACACTGTATATTTTTGGCATGCTTTGAATCATTTATTCTGGGTAACATCTCCAGAGTTCAATTGGGTTATTAAATTCATCAATATTGTCAAAGAAAGTTACTGAAGACGTCTCATACAAATGCAGTTTTAATGACCAATGTGTATTCAGAATTCAAGTTTCATAATTTCATGTGCATTGTATGGATTAGGTTCAACTTTACAAATGTACTTTTAGAAAAGTAAGAACATATAAAATGCACATTAATATACATATATAT